CCATATTAAAAACGGATTTGCAAAAATTTGAGGGGAAGGACTGTTAGTAACCGAACAAGCCGTAGAACGACACATGGTGGGTGTCAGCAAGCTGCAACACATTCCCAGTAAAATACTGCTATCTTATCTAAATCAGCAACAATAACATGTGGGCTTCAGAAAGGGCTTCATTAATCCTGTGTCTAAGAGATACCAAGTGAGAAACAACAGACGGATAAAACAAAAAATTGATAATGCCACCGTGGTTGAGAGACCGATCCGTTTGTAGTAGAATACTGAGCTATGTGCACAAGAAAGGCCCAAAATGGTGAAAAATGGAGAACGTGCTTTTAAGACGAATTAAAAAATACGCCAATCGTTTCGATCACTTGATATACATTACCTGTATATAGCTGTTTCCTGTTGGGTCGTCAAGAACAAGATGAATTTTCATTTTGAATTGTAAAATTTGCTCAAATTTATCCAGAAATTCCTGCATTCGCTTAGCATCTTCATCACCGGTACTGTCGCCCAGAAAAAACTGCCCTTGTTCCTGAAAAATAAAAATGCAAGTTCATTTCAGCAATTTCATCCATTTTTCCGTATGCTGAAATGAATTTACATAAAAGTTTACTTAAATTTCGAGGAAAAATAAATACCAGTGAACGAGTCAGTGCAGCTCTCCATGTTAAGAGGTATTGCATGTTACTTATTGCTAGAAGATGTCAGAAAGAGGTCACTCGACTGGTATTTAAACAGGATGAAGCATATACATTAAATGAACAGCGAACAGCAACCAGAAACATACGTGGCCAAGATCGAAAGATGAAAGCATCCTTGTAACATTACTAACATGAGATCCACACCGATTTTGGGATTCTCCAAAATTCCTCAGAAAGGAAAATCCCAGAGTTCTGGACTCAAACAGAAAGCGCAAAAATAAAGCTCGACAATTACAAAACGAACAAGCAAAAAAAAAAACCTTGAGCTGATCCCTGGTAGCAACAAGTAGGCCTTCAACAGTCGTAAATCGCCCGGATAATGCACCGGGACCAACAGCGAGATCTAATTCGGGAATG